TTAAATTTGAGTAAATATTTCTGAAAAAAATCGGTTTATTTTATGGAATTTTTTTCGGTAATATGAAGGGAATTTTTTTTGATATATTTACTGAAAATTTATAGTCAATTTTATGGAATTTTTTTTGGGTAATATGAAGGGAAATTTTTTAGTTATTTTTACTTTACAATTTTAAATTGAGATCTAGATTGATGTGATCATTCAATCGAAGTGCATTTGTTTTACGTTGGTTGAAGAAAATAAGTTGATTTTGAAAAGAAATTGTTTGGTGTATTTGGATATTTTACACAATTCAAATGATTTCTGAATAGAAATGAAAGTGAACACAATATATTTTTGATGAATAAAATGTGCTACTATCAAATAAACGGGACCTTATATCTTAAATTTCTTTTCCGAATTTTGATCGAAAAAAATTCATTTCTTGCATTCGAACCCGCAATGAGATCATAATTGTGCCAAAAATTTTCGTATTTCTCAAGACATTGTCTATGCTTTCCGTAGCAAAAGTGTTAATTTTTTACCGGTTTTCAATTGATGTAGTTATAATTATTGAATCGCTGAATCGTGTCAAATGCGTGTTTTGTTGAAATTGTGTGCTTGAATGTGTTAATAAATTCATAATCAAGTGGCACAAATTGACCCCATACGGTTGTTTATATTGATTATAAACTGTGACGATCGTAATGCACGTATAAAGCGAAAACGTTAAAAGCGAAAAAAAGTATTATCAGTGTATTCATTTCTGATTCACGGCGATGACGTCGAATAGAACGCAATGAATATAGCTCTATTCAAACCAAATATAGCAAAATTCGATTTGAAATCAGTTTGCCTTTTTTGCTGCGATAGATCCGGAAAACTTGAAGTTTAACAATACATTGCGTTTCTCATTTCAGTTCGTATCTCTTTGTTGTTTACGGTGTGTGGAAAAAATGGAATTTCGTTTTATTTTATAAAAGATGACGTCATTAACTGTGTTCATTCTATACTTTGCTGTCATGTTGATAAGTGGTATTCCAGGTAGTTTCATTCAATAAATTTTTTTATAAAAAATTCAAGTCTTCATTGGCGCATTTACTCGTTACTTTTTCGCACACACCTAGTGTGTAAAGGACTTATTGAGCAGGACTACTGATTCTTACGGTCGGGCATCGGATTTTTTTCACGGCAATTAATCAATATTGCATAGTTTTATGATTGAATATATTTTGAAATATGACAATGAATATAAACAAAATGAATCAGTTTAAAGTTTTCATGCTCAAAAAATCATTCCCATAGTGTGGGACTATATATGAATATTTTTGAATTCGAAAATCAACTGTTGAAAAGGTTTATTTTTGGTATTAAAGCGATTCACTTGGTTTTGTTATGCTTATTTTCATTATTTAAATTGACTCCAATCATAAAACTACGGAAAGCAATTCGATTTCACATTTAATAAAAAAATCTCTTTCGACGGGCACTATATGTGAATATGTGGACGATATTTTTTTCGATCAAAATTTAAAATTGAATAATTCTTGATAGTTTTATGATTTTAGTGAATTTTATTAGTGCCAATAAACACAACAAAAATATTTAAATCTCTTGAAAACCGAAAATAAAATATTTCAACCGTAGATTTTTGAATTCCATATTTCTCATATATTGCGGAACTATGGAAACGATTTTTTTTCCATGAATATTTGAAATCGAATTGTTTTTGTTACTTTTTTAATTCTAAATTAATCATTCAAAAACGTCAATTAAATCGCTTAAATATCCAAAACAAAAATGTTCATCTCTCAATTCGTAAATTTAATATTTAATAAACACTCAAAAATATGTATTAGCACGAAAAAACCGAAAATAATGGTATTTTTGCGATACAAATCATTTAAAACCATAAATATCATCATTTCAAAGTGTACACATAGGGTGTGCGAAAAAGAAATAATTGTGCGAAAAATATAGAACATGTGTTAAATAAACGCTGACTATTATGTCGCTACGTGCTGATCATGCGAAAATCATTGTATTTCTGTTGAAATTGAATACATGTCAATCGTGTAATAATGAACTTTGATCAATTCTAGCCACTCGATTCAGGCGAGCCGAAAACCTGTAAGTATTTTTTTTTTCTAACCATAAATAACTGAAACATCGTATTTTGTGTATTATAATCCTTTAAAATACCTTCACTGCAGAGAAACATGGCAAGTCTTTCACAAGGCTGCTCTAACTGGTAAGCAATGGACATATTTTTGGAATTCGTTAAATTTATCCATAAGCATTAGTGGTCAATACATTTGAAATCGTTTAATATTCTACACAGGCGATGTACAAAAAATCGGAGAATTAATAAGAAACAGAGTGGACGTTAATATCAAAAACCGTAATGGTTGGACACCTTTATTAACCGCAACTTACTATGGTAGTTTCAAAATTTGGTTGCATTTTGTCCAAATACATAGAATAGCACAAATATTTGAATCTCTTTCCCTTCAGATAAATCTAATGTAGTTGAGTTGTTGACAAGGAATGGTGCTGACATTAATTTAAAAGAAAAAGGCGGCTATAGCCCACTATATACAGCTTCTTTTAATGGTAACAAAATCATTTTAATTTAAATATTTTTATTTTTTTTTCGTATAGAATGTTGAAAGCCATTTCCATTAAAAGTGTATTCAAGAAGATGATTTTATTATCAAATTAAGGTTATGAGCGTGTCGTTGAAATATTAATTGAAAAAGGTGCGGATGTAAACATCAGTAATAAGAACGGATTTACACCAATAATTATCGCCGCTCAGGAAGGTGATTCTAATCGATTCTCTATAGATAAAAAAAGTTCCATAATATTTGTATCAAAATTATTTTCATAGGTCATGGGCGAGTTGTTGAAATGTTGCTTAAAAATGGGGCCAATGTCAACAGTCAAAATAACTTTGGATCGACGCCCTTGTTTTGGGCTTCAAGAAAAGGTAAAGCAATCGAATATGATGTTACTCTCTTCAAATCGTCAAAATTTTATAAATATTTGAATCTCTATTTTCTTAGGTCATACTAATGTAGTTGAACTGTTGATAAGGAATGGTGCAGACATTAACTTGAAAAATAACGACGGCGATAGTGCGCTGTATACATCCTCTTTTGATGGTATTAAAACCATTTCAGTGTTTAAGTAGGGTTACAGCCTTAGCCCCCTTAGCGTCAAAATTTCCTATGTTCTGGTTGATTTCCACGGACGGTCACCACAGCGGTGTTTTTCAAAAGGCATTTTTGATTATTGTCTTGTTGGAAAGGTCTCTCAGTAAGATAAGATAAGATAGATACTATCTTTTATCTTATCTAGATGATTTTAGAAACTTAAAAAATCATCTTATCTTTATCTTATCTTTTGGCTTTTTTGGTATCTTATCTTTATTTTTTAAGATAAATAATAAGATATTTTGGTCATTTATTAAAAAAAAAATCATCAATTGTCGGTATGATTAATTTGTTCATTGAAGCGAAAATGATCAATTTCATGACTCGATTCGTCAAAATTATATTCGAATTCTTCGTTATTAAATTCCATTGCACGCTCATTGAAATCAGGTTGATTGCATTCAAGAAATTTAGAGAAATTCACCTTCGTATTGCATAAATGGCAAAAACTCGAATCACAGCAATGAAATCTCTAATAACGTGCTAGATGGTGTCGACACGAGTGGACGGATTTTTAAATTTATTTGAACGACGCGATGTTACTATACTTGTCCATTACAACGTACATGTAACAGAAGAAACACAGAGTCCATGTCCACGCTAGTGGATATAAACGATTTGAACCGTCAATGTGAACTAGATCAAGTTATAGAACTTTACATAGGATCATATACGATGAATATGGATTACACAGTCTGTTTCAAAATACCGTCACCAATATCGACACCATTTGACATCAAAATTTTGACAGTAAAAATATGTGTTATTGTTGTTGTCGTTTCATTGCTGTGACTCGAATCGCTTTGCAAAGGTCGCTTCCATCATCCGTAACAATATGTGTTATTTTGTGCACTGGTAGATCATATTTTTAAAGGCTTTTATAAGTATTTTGGTCAAAGCATCCTATGATTGTTTGCCATTTATCTGTCAAAAAGCTAAAACAAACGATTCCCTCTGATAGGACGATAAATAGTGCACAGTAATGCGTATAAAACTACATACGATTTTTCGATAACATCGAATTTGTGTTACGCACGGTGTTCTCAGAACAAATCCGACAACTTCAACGCACGGTTCATGGGCCCGATTACTCCGACCGATTAATATCCACAGTGCGTGAAGTTTGTTTATAGCTGATATTAATTAACATTCTTTTTTTCACTTTGACATTTTTTGAAAATTTTATTCAAATACTTTTCGATATCTTATTTTTTTATTACTTTTCCGCACACATAGTGTAAGGTGAAAAGTATTGTAATCGGTCAAAATTTTGAAAACTTCAGATACATGTTTTCTGGACGTTTCTGAGGTCAGAAAACACGAATTTGGCGTTTTTAAACATGGTTTTTGTTAATCTGTACGTCGGACGTTGTACGTTGTACGTTGTACGTCGTACGCAAAATTTGTTGGCAAGATTGTGCTCATCGTCGAAACTTAATTCAAAATCTGACTTTACAGGATGATTGGGGGTCGCGAGGAATAGGAATCATTAGATTTTGAGCGACTTTGGTTGATGGAAAAAAATGTCATGCCTGGAGTGATACCTATGAAAAAGAGTCCAATTTTCGTCCAAAAGTCATACTTAATGTAGACTTAAACACTTAAAAATATGTATTGGGGGGTTTTTTGGCACGAGAAAACCGAATCCGAGGTAAGTTTTGAGATACAATCAATTTTTGATACAATTTCCTTGGAAAAATCACAAGAAAATTTAATTTTTGTATGGGAGCCATGATTTTCTGCTACCGCAATGACGTGAAACTTTGCACAGACTATTTTTCTAGGGGACATTCATACTAGAAAAACTAGTGAAACTAGCAGCAACTAGCAGCGACTAGCAAGCACTAGCGTATTATAGTCCAAAGCAAATGAATTGAGGC